CCCCCTCCCCCGGCCGCGGGCCCCAAGCCTTCGGGGCCCCGACCGGCCTGCGGGGTCGCTGACTCACTGCGCGAAGGCCTGTTTTGGTCCGCGTGTGTGTCGGTGTGAGAGGTTTGCGTGTGTGTGTGTGTGTCGTGCTTGGTACTTCCCACGTGGCCCGGTCAGCCCGGCTACTCGGATGCGTGAGAATCCAGAGCCGACGCTCTGCCCCCTTCCCCTCCGTAACGCAAGATGATGAGCCGAGCTGGGAGAATCATCAAGAAGAGGCCCACCTCGGCATCACGCGCGCCGCACGCCGCCACGCCACGTCCGGCTCATTGCCTGAGACTTATTACGGCCCCAAAGATATTTAGAGTTTTTTTTAGGGGGGGGGGGAGGTCTCTCCTTCACTTCTCTTCCCTCAAATTATAATTTTACGACGATTTTTGCCCTGCTTGCTTTGTGTGTGGCCGGTCCCGGCCCCGGCCCCGGCCCCGGCCCCGCCCAGCAGGCTGATGAGGCGAGGCGCTCGCGGTCCGGCTGTGCGGAGCGGAGTGGACCGTTGTTCGGGACACGCGCCGGGCCGGCCAGCCGCGGGACGGGAGGCTCAATAAAAGTACACGCTCCGGCTGGGCGGTGTGTTGTTATAGTCCAGCAGGTAGCATGGCGCTTGGTGGTCAGTAAAGCGCCCTCGGGGAGGCTTCCCTCCGCGTCCGGCGTGGCCACAGTGTGGGCACGGCCTGGCTATGCGCGGAGGCGCCCGCAGGAGGGACTCCCTGAGCCACACAATGCGGCGGGCGTGGGCCGGGGACGATGTGCGTGGCGGCGGTGGCGCAGCGGGTCAAGGGGAGGGCGGCCCCGAGCGTTCTCCGCGCTCCTCTCGCGACTTGTGTTGCGCCGCTCTCCGCGTGGGCATCGCCGGGCGCCTGGTGCAAGAGCCGCCGCGGGGTGACGACGGCGGTGAGGCTCTCCATCGGCGTCAACGCGCACGGGCACGCCAGTCCGTCCACCTCCTCGAACCCCGCCGCGCTCCGGCCCGCTGACCCATGAACCAGAGCTGCCCAGTGAACCGCAATGTTGCCGCAGAGAAGAAAGTACGCAGAAACTTCCCACGAATACACCTTGTGCGCGGGGGCTCTGCTCGGCGGCACACTAGGCCACTTGTATACACCTGTGGCGAGGGGTTGTTGCCCAGTAGGCGGGCGAGAAATGCAACCCATAACCAAACACCTGTGTATTCGAGGGGACTTTGCCTACCTTTTCTGGCAACAGACAACTCTGTAGCAGTGCTGCTCAGTAGGTAAGCTAGCGCCCCATAAGCCAGTACCTGCCAGGTGCTGCCCCATGAGCTAGTCGAGCCATGCGCTATCGTGAGCCAGTGCTGCCTCAGATCGTCCTCGTAGGAGCCAGCTGGCCGGGTCCTCCGGGTTGCCTTCCTCCTCTCCGGAGGGCGCCGGCGCCCCCGTGTAACGGTGCGGCAGGAAAGGGAGCCGTCGGTCTCCCGTCATCACCGCGGCTCCATGCCGCTCCTCGCGCGGCGGGGCCGAAAGAAAAAATACACAAACTGCCATTACATAGCGGTCCAGCCCGAGTCGGCCCATCAAAATCGACAGCAAGTACAGCAATATGGTACGGTACGGTGCGGCGCCGCTGTCACCTCGCAAAGGCCGGCCCCCGGGCAACCGACGCGGGCGCAACGGTGGCTCCGGGAACACTGCGAGCAGTGGCTTGAAATACTAGAGGCGCAGAGGCGACTGATTAACCACGCGCACTTCTGTGGTTATGCTGTACCGCATTCCCTGGGTGCGGGCGGGTTGCCTGCCTACTCGCTCGACCTGTAAGGCGCAATGGTTCGGGGCGATAGGCAATGACATGGTTCAGTACGGCTACAGGATGTCCAGGGGTCTGTGGGACGGCCTGTAGTGCCGTAACCACGGTGCTTTAAGCTGTGCAGGACGCCGCGGTGCGCCTCGCAGGCAGCATGAACAGGCAACCACTTTTGCGCGGATTTGGCTAAATCCGAACGAGGGCGGCGTTGCGCGCGAGGATTATTAGTGTACGA